GCGGCTTCTCCTCCCCACCCATTTCCAACCACTCAGTTGCACCGTGCGCAGCCGTCCGCGCAGCCAAGCTCGCTCATCACTAGCGGCTTACTCCCCCACCCATTTCCAACCACTTCCTTGCACCCACGCCGTCCGCAGCCGTCCACGCCATTCTCCGCACCCATTTCCCGTCCGCAGCCGTCCGCGCAGCCAAGCTCACTCATCACCAGCGGCTTCTTCTCCCAACCCATTCCAGCCACTCCCTTGCACCCACGCCGTCCGCAACCGTCCGCGCACTTCTCCGCACCCCCATTGCCCGTCCGCAGCCGTCCGCGCAGCCAAGCTCGCTCATCACCAGCGGCTTCTTCTCTCCACCCATTTCCAGCCACTCCGTTGCACCCACGCCGTCCGCAGCCTTCCGCGCAGTTCTCCGCACCCATTTCCCGTCCGCAGCCGTCCGCGCAGCCGAGCTCGCTCATCACCAGCGGCTTCTTCTCCCCACCCATTTCCAGCCACGCCGTTGCACCCACGCCGTCCGCAGCCGTCCGCGCAGTTCTCCGCACCCATTTCCCGTCCGCAGCCGTCCGCGCAGCCAAGCTCGCTCATCACCAGCGGCTTCTTTTTCCAGCCACTCCCTTGCACCCACGCCGTCCGCAGCCGTCCACGCCATTCTCCCCATTTGCCGTCCGCAGCCGCCCGCGCAGCCAAGCTCGCTCATGCGGCTTCTTCTCCCCACCCACTTCCAGCCACTCCCTTGCACCCACGCCGTCCGCAGCCGTCCGCGCAATTCTCCGCACCCGCCAAGCTCGCTCATCACCAGCGGCTTCTTCTCCCCACCAATTTCCAGCCACTCCGTTGCACCCGCGCCGTCCGCAGCCGTCCGCACAATTCTCCGCACCCATTTGCCGTCCGCAGCCGTCCGCGCAGCCAAGCTCGCTCATCACCAGCGGCTTCTTCTCCCCACCCATTTCCAGCCACTCCATTGCACCCGCGCCATCCGCAGCCGTCCACGCCATTCTCCCCATCCACTTGCCGTCCGCAGCCGTCCGCGCAGCCAAGCTCGCTCATCACCAGCCGCTTCTTCTCCCCACCCATTTCCAGCTACTCCCTTGCACCCACGCCGTCCGCAACCGTCTGCGCACTTCTCCGCATCCATTGCCCGTCCGCAGCCGTCCGCGCAGCCAAGCTCGCTCATCACCAGCGGCGTCTTCCTCACCCATTTCCAGCCACTCCGTTGCACCCACGCCGTCCGCAGCCTTCTGCGCACTTCTCCGCACCCATTTCCCGTCCGCACCCGTCCGCGCAGCCGAGCTCGCTCATCACCAGCGGCTTCTTCTCCCCACCCATTTCCAGCCACTCCCTTGCACCCACGCCGTCCGCAGCCGTCCGCGCAATTCTCCGCACCCATTTGCCATCCGCAGCCATCCGCGCAGCCAATCCTACCCACATTTCCATCACTCCGTTGCACCCGCGCCGTCCGCAGCCGTCCGCGCAATTCTCCCAACCCATTTGCTTCCGCAGCCGTCCGCGCAGCCAAGCTCGCTCATCACCAGCGGCTTCCTCTCCCCACCCATTTCCAGCCACTCCGTTGCACCCGCGCCCTCCGCAACCGTCCGCGCACTTCTCCGCACCCATTGCCCGTCCGCAGCCGTCCGTGCAGCCGAGCTCGCTCATCACCAGCGGCTTCTTCTCCCCACCCATGCATTTCCAGCTACTCCCTTGCACCCACGCCGTCCGCAGCAGTCCTCGCAATTCTCCGCACCCATTTGCCGTCCGCAGCCGTCCCTTGCACCCACGCCGTCCGCGGCTGTCCGCGCAAGTCTCCGCACCCATTTGCCGTCCGCAGCCGTCCGCGCAGCCAAGCTCGCTCATCCCCAGCAGCTTCTTCTCCCCACCCATTTCCAGCCACTCCCTTGCACCCACGCCGCCCGCAGCCGTCCACGCAGTTCTCCGCACCCATTTCCCGTCCGCAGCCGTCCGCGCAGCCAAGCTCGCTCATCACCAGCGGCTTCTTCTCCCCATCCATTTCCGGCCACTCCATTGCACCCGCGCCTTTCCCTTCCTTTCCCTTCCTTTCCCTTCCTTTTTCCTTCCTTTCCCATCCTTTCCCTTCCTTTCCCTTCCTTTCCCATCCTTTCCCTTTCTTTCCCTTCCTTTCCCTTCCTTTCCCTTCCTTTCCCTTCCTTTCCCTTCCTTTCCCGTCCTTTCCCTTCCTTTTTCCTTCCTTTCCCTTCCTTTCCCTTCCTTTCCCTTCCTTTCCCATCCTGTCCCTTCCTTTCCCTTCCTTTTTCCTTCCTTTCCCATCCTTTCCCTTCCTTTCCCTTCCTGTCCCTTCCTTTCCCATCCTTTCCCTTCCTTTCCCTTCCTTTCCCATCCTTTCCCTTCCCTTCCCTTCCCTTCCCTTCCTCTCCCTTCCTTTCCCTTCCTTTCCCTTCCTTTCCCTTGCACCCACGCCGTCCGCACATCACCGTTCAAACCAGCTCGCTCCCCCACGCGGTTAAACAACTAAACGAGAACCCAAGCATCAAAGATGCTTTTGGGAAAAAGCAGCTTCTTCCACAACTAAATTGACAAGACAAATCAAAACATCACTGGCTCCTTCTTCTTCCCTATCCGTTTCGCCATGGCACGCGGCATTCTGCTAAACCCACGCTGCTTCAGCCACAACAGCACACCCAATTTTTACATTCGACCCGTTGTTCCCGACCCAAACAAAAACGAAAACAGGGAAAAGAAAGAAGGCAAAGACGTTGCAAACATCGAAACACGGAGAACCCAAAAACGTTTCTTTCCCATGAGTGTCCTATTGCCGAGCGTTTCGCATCCATGTCACGCGTCTTATTACAAGCTATTTGCACGATTTCCTCTCCGTCCAGCATGCTGTCTCGCTCCCTCCCAGCGAAGCTCTCCCCAAGCAATTATTTCCACGGTTTTGTTATGTCCAGCATGCTGTCTCGCCCCCTCCCAGCGAAGCTCTCCGCAAACATTTCCGACCCATTTCCCGTCCGCAGCCGTCCGCGCAGCCAAGCTCGCTC